TAGTGAAGTTGTTGACTTGAAATTAGATATCCCATTTCAAATAACAATTCATGGGGAAAATATTGGAATATGCTGTAGACTTAAGTCATATTCAGGGTGGGGGAAGAACTTTGTTTTTGTTATAATGCACATACACTCGCAGTATTGTGTAAATGTGTATTCTTCCTGCCACAGGGCTCTCTTAGAGCTGTTGTGATTTTTCAAGCGTAGTTTCATATAATTTCACATTATCTGGTGAGTCTTATCACTTGTCCATTTTGATACATTCACTCAACTAGTTCATGAACGTAGTAATTTATTTGAAACACCTGCCTATGAGCCAGATGTTTTAGTAGTACTCCAGAAACACTGTGTACTTGCTGATGTGTTGTTGTGGGATATCATAAGTGAATATATAGCACTTTTTTATGTTCAATCAAACCCATATAATGCTATAGAGTATGACTTTGCTGTCTAACGTTCTACTCTTTTGCACCTTGAGCCTAATGCTCTTTGAAATCTCTAGCTACATGAACAGAGTATCATTCTCAATCAGAGAGTAGGTGACCTTCCAAACGTGCGAGTTTATTGCTTTCTGCTGTTTGCTTTATTAAGAAGTTAATAATCATTCAAGACTTCCTCTAATCTTTTAAACTATCCTTTGTTCCCCCTCACTCTTGAACCTGTATTGCGGCTAATCATTTTGCTGTACTTTTCTTGTAATCCCCTTATACAATCTTTCACACTACTTCTATTCTTTTTTTATTGTTTGACTTGGAGTTGTGTTTTAATTTGAGTTAACACGGTTCTTGTGTTTATGTTAGACATACACAGGAAGTATTCTAATTGCTGTGAACCCATTCACAAAGCTTCCTCATCTTTATAATGTGCACATGATGGAGCAATATAAGGGAGCTCCATTTGGTGAGCTAAGCCCCCATGCGTTTGCCGTGGCAGATGCATCTTACAGGTTCCTCAAGTCTTGTGTACTTTTTTTGTCAATTCATCAATGGTTGATGGTAGTATCACATGTTAGCCTTCTATTGACTGTGTATATGCAGAGCAATGATGGGTGATGCCAAAAACCAGTCAATATTGGTCAGCGGAGAAAGTGGGGCTGGAAAAACTGAGACAACAAAATTGATCATGCAGTATCTTACTTATGTTGGTGGCCGTGCTGCGAGTGATGACAGAACCGTTGAACAGCAGGTTTTAGAAGTAAGTTTTGCTTATCCTATTGTCTTAATTGTAACTTTATGTTGGTATTGACTTGATTATCTTCTCTTTCATAGTTGAGTAGAAAATAAGTTGGGATCTTTTTGGTTTCAAAATGTTGCATATCACTGAGAATATTATGAATATATTGTACAAAGCATAGTTATCTTTTTCAGCACTACTTCCCAAGTTTGTGTATAGATGCTTATGGTGTGCAACTTGACAGGCATAACATTCAAAGCTTGAACAAACCTTTTTTTTCATATTTGGATGATCTGGAAAAAAGGAATGCTTAGCACTAGAGACTCATTCCTAATATTAGCAACCTTGTGGATGGACATCATGGACAGGGAAAACAATATAAAGCAGGAAAAAGAAGTCCAAACCAAGTATTTGAGCATATCCAGAAATCAAAGTTGCTTATACAACATTTTTCCAAGCTCCATGGCGTTTGATTTGGCATTGGACTCTCTTTTTGTTTCACATTCTCCAACTTAGAAGCTTCAACATTTGAGGGACCAAATGCAGAAGGAAAATTAATGCATTTTCAGAAACATAAATGGAAATAGAACTTGGTCAGCATGGTCTGGAAGCTCATGGGGCAAATGAATATGGTGACAGAAAGGTGATGTCTGAAGGATTAAGATCTGACCGGTAGAGGCTGAGCTTTAAGGTTTATTCAGGGCTGGATCTTGCTTACAAGACTCAAGTTGAGGCCAGAAAATCCCAGCCAGGTTGTAATATGTTGAAAAACATATGGCTACTTCTGGGTTTGGTTCGATGAAGCCTAGTTGAGTTCGACAAGTTGCGGATGTAATTTGTCACAACAGTGCCAGCAAAGCCTCTATGGCTTCGACACCACTTTTGCCACAATGCAGTGAAGCAGCAAAGCTACTAATGGTGGCAGCATGTGAGGATATTCTGAGGGTCCAACCAACATATTCTAATTAAAAACAAAGACAACTAGAATAAAAACATAAGAACCGAAGAATCAACATTGTGTTTGTAACAACCAAGTGTTTGTGGAGGAAGCTCCAAACATTTAACCTAAACCTCTCATACCATGATATCTTGAGGGGTTCGAAGTATTACATACTATCAACGATAAAGTTTTACATAGCTTGGTGGTCAGTGCATTGAGTCGAAAATAATACATAGGCTATCGGTTAATCTAATAAAATTTTGTCTTCAACACAAATAAACAAGCAAGTCATTCCTCTTAACTCATCAAATTAGCAATCTTCACCTATCACATCGTTAGCCAAACCATGTAGACGTGCGAGATATCAGTCACATCTTTAACCTAATAATGAAGTCCAATCTTTCCATATTTGTTCTCAAGTAGTGGATGATTTCGCCTACATGGTTTGCGCAAATAGCGTATTTGGTGGTTGTTTTATACTTGCAGTGGCAGTTGAGCAACCTTTCGCTTCCTCTTAGATTCTGTTATACCCTGTGGTCAACAAGTTTATAAGTTTGGTTAATAAGTCAATAGAAGGGGTAGTATAATTCTTGGTTTAAAAATGCACTCTGATGCGTGATGCACTCCGATGCGCTGGAGGTAATGCATCAGAGGGGTTGATGCGAAGCGATTCCATGATGCTCTCTGATGCGGTCGCATCACCTATGCATCACACGATGCGTGCATCAGCGCATCCTGTATGTTTCATGTTTGGGCTCATTTTTCATTCTTTAGAGGTTTTTAGTTGGGCTTTTTGTAGATTAAAATAGAACGTAATAATGACCTAATAAAATAGAAGCCCCTCTCAAGTCTCAAGTCGCATATTAGATTAAGAACATATACGTGAGTCGTGAAGATGATGAAGTTGAGGTGGAAGCAGATATTGGAGGGTTTGATAATGATGAGGGAGATGAACCCATGTTGGTGTTTGATGATGCTGATCTTGGGGAGTATTAGTTGGTCACTTGGTCGTTTAGTTTAGGGATTGGGGACTATTAGACTTTTACTTGTGTAATTCATTGTAGTAGTTTGTGTGTTTTGTTATTCCAATTCACGAACTTTTTAAGATTCTAATGCCACTTATTGAACTACTTTATGTTATAAATGAAGTATTTTGATAGGTAGGTATTTTTAAGGTAGAAATTGATATGTAGAATTAATTTATAAGTATTTTTTGAATACCGGGCGCATCACGTGCGTGATGCGAGCGCATCACGCATCACGCATCGGCTTCCGGGACCCTTACTGCCTCGGATCGCATCACGCTTTTTAAAACCAACTATAATTAGAGGGGGTTAGAGGGAAGGGTATTCTGTTTTCTGAACACCAAATTGAGTGGAACGCTTTAGGGAGAGATCTCAGGTCTCTCGAAAACCTGAGGAAATTCTGTAGATCATTAGACTAATACAGTCAATCGACTGCTTCGATCATCAGTTCTTAGCAAGCGGGTGTGAAATTATTTAGCTTCAAATAAGAAATGAATCACTTGATTTTTACAAGTAAATGAGCATGTTGTTACCAATCATGCTCATAGTTAACCATGTAGATGAGCAAGTCATTGAAGATTACACTCTTAGACTGACGACATAATCACTTCTTCATATTCCTCCTTTAGAAGGTGAAGCTTCACCCACATTGTTTGGCTAATTGATTATAGATATCACACAATAATTTGAGATTAGAAATTTATTATGCTTATTCTTTCAATTTATCATCTTTGGACTTAAAGCGCACACACAATTAAGATATTCGTTTGGATATACTACATACTTCTTTTAATCTGAGTTTCTTGCATTCGTCTGTTAAAAAAGGATCACTGCATTTTGGTGCCTCATGCAACACAAACAACTATTAGTGGCGTGTTTCTATCTTTTTATATCTTTGACCTGGTTTTCTGTGTCTTAACTGTCTTTATACATTTTTGTAAGGCATTCTTTCATTTTTCTTATCAATTTGACATACATTAGTCTTTCTGTCTCTTCCTGTTTATGTTTATTTGACTTATTTTCTTTTCCATTGTGCAGTCAAACCCCCTTTTGGAGGCATTTGGGAATGCACGGACTGTTAGAAATGATAATTCAAGGTTTGTGTCAGATTTTGTACTTTTGTTCTAGTTGCATTTGTGCTCTGTTGGTTACCATGGTTCTAGCCCTTCTTTTATGTGACCAAGCTTTGCAATCAGTGGCTATCAGGTTTCATATGCTATCAGCAGTCTTATGAGAATTCAGATTTATATTTTCAGCCTTAAAATTTGACTGGGATGACTTTTCCAGATTTTGTTGGAGCATAACCCACTATTCTGTTGCTTAAATTAATGATGGGTAAATTTTGTTTTTTGTTATGGCATAGCAGAATTGACCTTGTAAGTTAAAATATATTTTTTAGTTTATACTTACTTCTGTGATAAGATGTATGTGGAGACATCATTTAAATATATATATATATATATATATATATATATATTAATGCAAACCAAGTTATTCGTACAAACCGTGAAAACTGTTGATTTCATTGTTTATTTTAGTGAATTTTTTCATGAAATTGTTTAACATGACGAAATTATTCCAAATAATTCATTTCATGATGAAAATGGTTCATATATTATGGTTTCTATGTAAAAATTAATTTGTTTCATGTATTTCTCATTTTGATGAAATTTGTTTACTAAAATTAATAGAATGAAGATGGTAATGTCCATAATTATTTGAAACAATTTCATCATATTAAACAATTTCATCATATTAAACAATTTCATGAAATTTTTTCACTAAAATAAACAATGAAATTGACGGTTTTCATGGTTTGTACAAATGGCTTGGTTTGCAAAATATCTCTCCCCTACATACATACATATATATATATATATGCCTAGCATGGTAACACATACATGTGTATGTTTGATGTTACTAGCTACATTATAAATACATCCTATACAAGTCTTTCATTCTATGTCAATTTTGAACTTGGGATTAACTGATTTCAGACCTTATGTTGTTATTCTTTATAAATCAATCAATAGAATCAGACTTTTTAATATGGTGGTCTTGGTTCTTGAACTGTCATGTTTTCGAAGTGGATGTCAAATATAGCCATTTTAAAAGAGGAATTATATGCATTCTTGCTTCTGAAAATGCAGTGAAAGAAATTATGGTGGATTCATTCATATGTTGCATTCACCATTGAGTGATGGACACTCAAATGGATGAGATGCCGCCTTGTCGGTCGTGCCACACATGTACCACATAGGCTCTTCCAAACACTTGCCCGAGAGGAAGACAACACTTTTGTTGCTGAACTTATAATGCTAAAATATGTTACATGCTTTTAAGTAGATCAGGAAAGGAAGATCAGAATAAGAGCCTCTAAGTTACATGCAAATCATGAACAATCTCATTTTTTGGATGGTCATACTGGTACTCCCAAAAGTATTAATGGTCATACTTGTTCTTCATTGTCTTCACCACCTGAAGATATTATCGAATTTCAGAATCCCCTCAATTTGAAACCAAGGGTAAAAAGCGCACTGTTTGAAGTTGGAATAATTTGAATCCAGGGGTAAAAACCCTACAAAAACACATTCTTGTGAATGGGATAATAGTTGGCTTTAACAATCTTTACAAAATGTTGTATAAAAAGCTAGTATAAAAATCTTTTCATAACAATATGTAACTATTATATGATAAAAAGAACATTAAACAACATGTTAGGGGCAATCTGGTCATTTTAACAGTTTTGTCATGTCCAGTCCAACTTACCGAACGCAAAACAGACAATTAGTCCAGTCCTGTACTAGTCGTGCCAATTGCTACCTAAGATACCTATAGTTAAAAAATAGACCATCCGGCAGTAGTTGCAGTTAATGAATTCAAATTAATTACTACAAGCATGTGCTTATTCCATGCTCCATGCCGGTCTCAGTCTTCTGCTAATCCTTTATGCCATTGATCTCTGTTTCCTGTCTCACTTTCAAAATTGAGTTCTGATGCGTCTCTGCCTCTCAAAGCATTATATTCGACATTATAAATACTTATTATCACCTTTCTATAAATTTTCATCGACACACTAACAACACACACTTTGCTGCTGCTGCATTGTCATTGCCACTGTTACTTTCACAAAACCACTAGGAGGTGCTTGCAATTGTTGAAGGGACATCAAGTCCAGGTAGCTTTGGATGTTCTTCCTGCCTTTTGAGAAACATGAGCAGGCAACATTGGTGCTGAGGCAACAAAGTGAAGGCAGTTGCCACCTACAATGCAACTTGGGGAGCAAAGACAATCACCAGCGGAACTTAGACTCATTCACGCACGAGCAGGAGCTAGAGGACCTGGGTTTTGGAGATTGTATAGTAATAATAATGAGGCAATTGTTCATCTTATGAAATGAATTTTTTGTTGTATACTTTACGGGATACAACAAACTTGAATTTTTATGATTATTTGCTTAGGACATTAATGAAAATATAATTTCTTATATGGTTAACCTTTGGATGGGAAGTGTCCATGCTATAAAGTTCTCTTTGTTCTAGAAATCTCTTATGAGGCTATTGTCTATACTCTACTGGAGAAAGGAAATAACATCTATAAAATGGAATTCTCATTATCTCCACTACCGTTCTTTGTATGGGTGACCATGATGTATGCTATTGGCATATTAAGTGATGAGTCTAGGGAATGCAATTTTGCTTAGCTAGAATTGTGCAGAAAAGCGTCAGTTTCTTGAGTAGGGTTTATGGGTCATTTAAAAGGCAATCACAAAATTCAACGATGGATCGAGAGGGCCATAGGACTAGAATGTCTATCTGTTCATTGAGATACGACAACTGCAATCAATATAGTAAAAATGTAACTTAGAAGAGTCATATCATCAAGAATCCTTATAGGTTATGGAGTTTTTAGTGTAGAAATCAACTTCAACTCTGTTCTTCGCTTGAGGAGACACTTGTGGTGACACAGGTTCTTCCATTACATTGATGTGCTATATGTGATCATTTGCCATATTATGTCATTTCATAATAAAATTAATAAAATAATTCGGCATATTACAACTACAACGTTAACCATGCTGTTATGCTGTAACCCACTTCATGCTAGTAAAGGGTTCATACTATTTGGGAGAATCAATGTATCAGTGTGGAAAGCTATAGCTCTTATGCTTGTTTAGTGATTAGCGGTTTTCATATGCTAATAAAGGGAAATTTTCTATGTTGCTTTGGGTTGCAGTCGTTTTGGCAAGTTTGTGGAGATTCAGTTTGATGCAAGTGGTAGAATATCTGGTGCGGCAATTCGAACATACCTACTTGAGCGATCTCGTGTGGTCCAGATAACAGATCCGGAAAGAAACTACCACTGCTTCTATCAGTTGTGTGCATCTGGAAGAGTACTCCCTCTTCTCTCTCTGTCTCAATGATAGACATGCATATGCATATGTGATGCACAAGCATATCTACATTTAAAAAATGGTGACCGTTTCGGTAGATGTCTCCTAATGCAAATGTGAGGAGGATGTCAGTTCTAGATTTTGATTAACCAATGTCTTAAAGCCCATGTTCAAGGGATTAATTGGTTTGTTATCGACAGGGACACTATTAGAGGACAAGCTTTCTTTGTACATATATAACTGAATCTTTAAATGAGACAACTTATGTTGAATTAGAAAGATAGATGGCCAAGGTAAACCATGATTCCTTATCAGGTCATCAACTAGTTATCTGAAATGGCATACTGATTCTTTCAAGTGGATCTTAGTGATCTACTAGTAGAGCCAGGCCTTACCCTTTTTGTTTCCATTGCCTCATTTCTACACAAAGACTTTGTGAAAATATGACCTGTTCACCTTTACAGCATATACAAGCATATTTAGTTAACTGCTGTACTGCAAACAGTTATTGGTGGTTGTGTAATATTTGGTGTAAGGGTGAACTTGATTTTATTCAGATATGTTCTTTCTGTTGTTTTTGGTTTATTTCTCATTTTCAAGCTTAAATGCACATTTTATAGTTGTGGAAGCCTCTTGTTTTCAGGATGTAGATCGGTACAAGCTAGGTCATCCAAGCGAATTCCATTACTTAAATCAAAGCAAGATATATGAGTTGGAGGGTGTGAGCAATGCAGAGGAATATGTGAAGACCAGAAGGGCTATGGATATTGTTGGAATCAGTCATGATGAGCAGGTCTCTTACATTTCCACAAGCATAGGTTTTCACCAATGTATTGCTTTTTATAGGTGTGTTTTTGGCTGCTTTCTTCACCACGACTTTCCTATCTTGTTAGGAGGCGATATTTCGTACGTTGGCTGCCATTCTTCATTTGGGAAACATAGAATTTTCTCCAGGGAAAGAGCATGATTCCTCAGTGGTGAAGGATGAGAAATCAAATTTTCATCTGCAGATGGCTGCTACTCTTTTTATGTGGGTGATTCACTTTTATTCTGGCATCTTCTTTACTAATGTGTGGCTCATGCCATTAATTTTCAGTTTTGATTATAATTTTCTTTGTGTTTATGTGGTACCAAGGTTTTAAAAGGCGGAATCGGGCCTTGAGGCGTGTTTCCTCAATAAGGAGAGGCATAAGCCTCGATTCGGTTCAAGGCGTAAGCACGAGGCGGAAATATATGTACACCAAAATATGTATATATACTACACATATATACACACACACATTTGTGTATATATACTATATATATAATACTACATCACTAAGAGACGCTTGTTCAGTGGTTCTTGACAGAGGAAAATTTGAAATGTGATATAGGCAGAGAGGGTGTGGATTGAGAGGAGAAAATACTAGCTTTTTGGGTTTTAAAATATTATAAGTACACATAGCACATTGGGTCCATTAGGCTTTGACTTCTAGTTTTCTAATATGAAAAGAACTCTTATAGTATAAAGAGAAGTACTACTATTGCTATAAAGCTTTTAAAAAAGTCAAAAAAACCATTACCGAAGCAGATTATCTGAGGCGTATGCCTCGACAGTGCCTCACACCTCACGCCTCATCTACCGCCTCGCTAAACCAAGGCGTAAGCCTTGTCGCTGGTCCAAGAGGTACCGTCTCAGATGTGGCTTTGGGCCGCCTCGCCTTGAGGCATGCCTCGAGGCGTAAGCCTCAAACGATTTTTAAAACCATGTGTGGTACAACTAAATCTATATCAGTAAGTGATGGTGTGTAAACATTTCAAGTATGTTTTGGTGCACAATGGTCTTGTGAAAGAAGGAACTATAAATTAACAGGAATGGTGACTATCCACTTGTGGAGGGATCCAAACATGGGTCTACCAATTGACAGCAGGAATGATATCATATGTAAAGGAAGGGATAGGGGTTTAAGTAAGAACATGACTCTACATGTATTATTAGCCATAATTGCCTATAGGAACATGAGGGTGTGAGCAAGATCTCAACTATCTATTTGTATCCCAAAAGTGACTTGATTTTGGGGGATCCAGAAAAGGGAACTTTTAGCATTTTACAGTTTTATTTTTAATAAATAACAAAAGGCTTTTGCATGTTTGAATATCTCGAAAAAAGTTGAGTTGCTTTGAGCAAGCACGTTGTTTTCATAGCATCTAAAAAATGATAATGCCACAACTATTCTAGGATTAATTAACTGATGTTGACTTCTGATGGAGTTAGTGTGCTGACAGCTCAGTTCTTTGAATAGTCATTGTCAGTTGAGGTTGTGGTTTCAGAACATCTGTGTGATTTAAGTGCCTTTTTTTCAGGTGTGATGTAAAACATTTGCTCGCAACTCTCTGCACACGTTCCATTCAAACTCGTGAAGGGATCATAATTAAAGCTCTTGATTGTGATGCTGCTGTTGCGAGTCGTGATGCTTTAGCAAAGACTGTTTATGCTCGGCTGTTTGATTGGTCTGGCCATATCTGCATTTTCAAAGTCCTCTCTCTTCTCCCTCTCTTTATTTCCTTTTCATCTTTTTGACTTTTCCTGGCTTGTTTCAGGCTTGTTGAAAAGATCAATAGATCTGTTGGGCAAGACCTTAATTCTCGCTTGCAAATTGGAGTTCTTGATATATACGGATTTGAATGCTTTAAGAATAACAGGTCAATTCACCTATCTTCTTAATTTTATAATTCTTTACTGTGGTGTGTTGTGCCTTGTATGAGTTGCTTTGAGGAAGCCTGACAACAGTGAATAAGATTTTTCTGGAAAGATATGGGAGCCATAAGTACATTTTAAGAAATTAAAAGATATATATATATATATATATACACTAGAAAAGTAGTCGCGCAATGCAGCAAGACACATCTCGATTTTAATGTTCTATTTTATTATTTGTCTTGATGTATAATACGATTTTATGTGTTTTTAAGAAAGTAATAATGATTTTATCTTTGAATAAAATATAAATTTGAAGATATCATAAAAATTTGAAAAAAAAATATCAATGTTAATATCAAATCAACTATTTAAAAGTTCTCATTTTTTATGTAATTTCTTTAATTTATTTTTTATTATAATTTAATTTAAGTTTAATAACGAAATAATTTATTTTTGGTTTAATAATATAACATTTATGTTGATAATAATTAAGTATTCTGTTAGAACTCAATGATTATCCTAATTATATTTTAGATATTTTATATTTAAAATGAGATGTTTATCCTATATTTGATTATGTTTATCTGTAGTTAGTTACACGAATTTAGATATGGAGCTTTAATAAGTTGTACTTACGCACAATCTACTTGCAATCTTGAGTTTTAAGTAATATGCATTAATAAACGTACTTTACGCATAAAAAGTGGTTTTTAAGAGTTTTTGTCAAATGCTTATAATATAGTGTATATATATATATATATATATATATATATATACTTAGATACACACACATGTATAAATATGTGTGTATATATGTATTTATTACATGGGGAATAGTGAATATGTGGCTGCCGTGATGATCATACAAGCATACACTTTTTCGAGCCGAACATGTTCATATGTTGATAAGTTATACAATCAAAATATATTTAAAAAACAATTGCTGCTATTGCTAGGTGTAGAGCTCGATCCAATTAAGGAGTTATACAAGAGCTTACAAAACTTGAAGTTTAGGTCATAGTATGAAACTGAAATTTGATATACGAGCATCGATGAGACATTGAAAAAGTATTCGAGCTCTATTTTGTAAAATTTATTCAAGCTTGAGCCTAGGTAGTGTTTCTCGAGCTGACCCCAAATATTAATGTGTGGCGGTTTTTGCTTTGGTAAACTACTTTATTCTTGGTACCCTTTCAGGTACAACCACTTTTTTTTCTCCACCTGAAACACTGTACTCAGCTTTCCAGACCTTCAGTGAGAGACTGCATTCTTCGTACTTTTTTCAAGTTTTATAGTAGGCTAGTAGCAAAGTGTAATTAGCAAATAGTTGAAGCAAGAAAGATGGGATTTGATTGATACTGTATTGATAACTTGCTCAACTAAATATAATGGGACAATTGAATAAACTCTTGTTTGTTGTAAGTGGTTCATTTGGTGTCTTCTTACTTCAAGATTTCATAAACATGATTAGTTTTATGTGTTTCCATTTTACAGTTTCGAGCAATTTTGCATTAATTTTGCAAATGAAAAGCTTCAACAACATTTCAATGAGGTGAGTACGGATGCATAACATGCAGTTTTGTGTATGGTCACAAATAATAATGTATATGAGCAAGTATGGTGAGGGACTCTCTATTTTGAAACATTTTAATGTATCCATGAAATATACATGAAAATTAAGGTCTCCTTTTATGATCTAGTCATTTATCTATTTCTGTTTTATCTACCAAGTCCTTCCAACATGCCATTTACCTTCTCTGCTTTTTTACTTCTATGATTACTTTCACGTCTCACAAGGACCAAAAGCAACACTTCAGGGCCCAGCATGGTATAGTTGAAAAAGATGCAAAGCAAAGGAGAACTATGTGTGTAGTTGAAGTGTTATTTGATAGAGTGCAAAGTTCATGGGATTAGTTTTATTGATTTATCTCCATTGATTGGAGCTGTTCTGACATCATCGAATCATGTGGATATCGAATAATAAGCCTACTTGCATTTGCATTCCCTTTTGTTTCATTGGACATGTAGTTCCGGAAATATCAAAAGTACGGCCATGTTGAGGGTTTCATATCTTAATTAGTTGAGGTATCCTTCATTTCTTGTTTTCATATACTATAGATGAATCTTTCTTTACGTATACCCTGCTTGGTTGGATTCTTGCAGCATGTTTTTAAGATGGAGCAGGAGGAGTATCGCAAGGAAGAAATCGCTTGGAGCTATATTGAGTTTATAGATAATCAAGATGTTTTAGATCTCATTGAAAAGGTTATTTCATATTCTGACAACATGCCTTTCTGTGCCTCTCTTAGCTGCTTATGTTTCCAAGATATAAACAACCTCTCAAATGACATTGGTTACTATATGAATTAATAAAGCCTTTCTCTTACTTTCTTGAAGCTAGTCAGTTGATTTTGTTATCATGAGAGATCTTTTGCTACTACTTTTGATTGCGAATGAATTTTCATTTAAGATATTACTGTTAATGATGCTTCAGTTTATTTTAGTGTGCTTTTCAATAGCCAACTATATGCTTGATATTTCTGGACATGATTTTTTTGTATAACCAGATTACTTTATAGTTCTAGTCCATGATGTAGAAACAATTATGCATGCGGCAGTGTGTTTCTGTTTCGGAGTGGTAATTCTGTCACTGGCTGATGTTGTGTTTCATTTAGATTTGCTTCTTCTTAGCTCTCATGAGTGGGAGGTGTATATTTTTTCTATTATAAGCTTCTGAAACCGAAAGTGAATTATTTTATTACATTTTCTCGGTTCTTCTTGTTGTTGTTGTTGATGTTGATTTTAAAAACCAATGGCCCTTGTTTTTGGGGCTGTATTGTGTAATTTGCAATTCATTGCTCTCTAATTACATTATGAGATAGAATGCTGGTGTCACTGCTTGAACCACCTTTGGTATTATTTTCTTTTCAAAATTTTAATGGAACACTGGATAATTATTGCGGTTATTTGCGATGTAAAGGATTTTCTACTGCTCCAGTTTTAAATATTTGCTCTGTGTTTCATTAGTTGTTTATGCATTGTAGATAGATCTAGATTATCGAAGTTTTTTCTTATAATCATGCTTTGACATGCTTTTGCAGAAGCCTATCGGAGTGATTGCTCTACTGGATGAAGCTTGGTACAAAATGATTTATGGGACTTCCTATTGTTGCACGTTTATCTATTAGTCATTTTGCTGTAGATTCTTCTTATCGTATTTTCATGTTCTTGCAGCATGTTTCCCAAGTCAACACATGAAACATTTGCAAATAAGCTGTTCCAGAACTTGCGTGCCAACCCAAGGTTAGGGAAGGCAAAGTTCTCTGAGACAGATTTTACCATTGCTCACTACGCTGGCAAGGCAAGTCATACACAATAGCATGTTGGAACTGAGTGCAGCTGTTGCTAACATGATACACCTCATAATATTTTATCTGGATTCTTTAACTGCAGGTCAATTATCAAACAGACTCCTTTTTGGATAAAAATCGTGATTATGTTGTTATTGATCACTGTAATCTACTATCGTCTTCAAAGTGTTGTTTTATTGCTGGTCTTTTTCCTGTACTGCCAGAAGAATCTTCAAGATCCTCGTATAAATTTTCTTCTGTGGCATCTAGATTTAAGGTATGGAATTTTTTATTTATTTTAAGTCCTTGTTTCTGCCAAATGTTAATTTGTGTCAGATGTGTGATGGAAGAGTTTGAGGTACTTTAATTTGAGAGTGCTTGAGGACTTGTAATATGATGCTGGTGGGCCACTTGTTCTTTACATATATGTTTCAAGTCTTTTGGGGTATGTGACGAACAGAGTCTTTGGGTTATGACATTCTTTAGTATGTGTTGATTGAACATTGTGTTTATATTGAGCACAAAATAGTGTAATAATAAAGAAATGTATCGGCAATCAAATTGGATCAGTGCAGCTTGATGCTTGAATGTATCATGTTGGAGCTCTGATACCTTAATATTTTGCATCAATCACAAGTACTTCTACACTCTGTTATCCACACATAGAAAGCACTGATTGGCGTGCATTATAAAGATGGAAATTCTGGCTGACTAGGACTATTGTGAATATTTGCAAGTTTCTTGCTGGATAGGAAAGCGTAGCATGTGGACCCTACGCCCATCAACTATAAACCATTTGACAGTTTGTATTCTCTTGATATTTTAAATGAATGAAACAAATACAAATTGAAGAAACCTTCATGAAGGTCGGATGGTTGACTGCTAGCTTGTTGTAGGTTTATTTCAAAAGTAACTGGTCACCAAGAAATGATGTTCCACTTTATTTTGTTTGTTTGTTTCTTTTGTTTCTTGTGTAGTTGTGTTGGATGGTGTGTAGACTATTACTAACGTTTGTGGTAAGTAGAAATTTTTGTGCCTCAATATTTTCAAGCTATAGAAGCAAATGCAAAAACATGTGCAAGTACTTTCTAAGATACCTTGATCAATGTGATAAGTTGTGTGCTTCATAAAGAACCTAACCTCATCATGCTGAATGCATGTGATTGTTAACCTTGTTAGGTGCTAAATGTCAAAGCTTATAATTTTAAAAAGCTGGGCACAAAAGTTTTCCCAGCCAATCAAATGGTGCTGATGTCTCTAGCCTGAAGATGGCCGAGACGGTAGCTTTGATTTATGCTGACATCTCAGACATCTTTCTATATCTATTTTTGGAGCATAATTTCATCTGACTTGTGTCTGGTTCATAACGAGTTATGTGTTATTAGTTAATTGTGGCATCTGTCTTGTTACATTCCTAATGGTTGTGGTACTCTTCTTGTTTTTCCTGTATGCTTGTAGCAACAACTACAAGCTCTCATGGATACCCTCAGTTCAACCGAGCCTCATTATGTCCGCTGTGTGAAGCCAAACTCAGTGAATCGCCCTCAGATGTTTGAGAATCAGAGTGTGTTGCATCAGTTACGTTGTGGGGTCAGTGGCATTTTATCTCTTTTCAATATTTGTTATGCACTTTTCAACATTTTGTGTCGATAGTCATGTGTACTTTTGCTTGTTCCAGTTCTTGCCATAGTTATGTTTGGTCATTATTTGAATTATGTTGATTATGCAGCCTTTTTATGTGTTTATTTCTTTGTCAGGCCACTGTGAGTACATGAGGAGAAAATATTATAAATCTTGTTACTTATCAAATTTCCAGTGCAATGTATCTTGTCATCATCTTGGTTTTATAGTCTATTTTGGTCTTTAAATGCAATTGGCGTTTAATTCACTGGATTAGTAAGCGCATATGAAATGAGTTAAGGCAACTTCAGATGTTCACTAAAATCAGGGTGTGTGATAACATTATAGATTACACTGTGCAGTTCTCATTGTAGAAAGAAAATTCTTCACCCATCCCAAGAAATGCAACAATATACATTTTTGCCAGTCTAGGATTTTTTTGTAAGTTTCCGGTGTTACTTTATTTTCTCATCATTAACAATTGCTCGAAATTAGTAACTTCTGATCTGGTCCACAAGTTTATTTTTATTTCATCATAATTAAGTGCCATACTTGTGAGCAATAGTCAAACATTTTTATTAGACAACATGGCAGGTCAAATGTTTCATCTTCTTGGGATGGAGGGATCATAAAAGACAAAAAGCCCAGCCAATTTGGTAATTGCTATTAGAAAATCAAATTTGAAGGCATGTAGAATAATTAATATATATATGTATATATATATCGGATTTTCTATACCTGGCCTAATCTAGATGAACCAAGGCACAAATATTTGAACTGGTGTTGTGTAGGTAGCTGCGAGCTTGGGGTCCATTGTTTAAGATGTCAAGTGCCCAAAGCTAATATCAATTCTGAGTAGATAGGGGGTGTGTCCGGATGTTAATGTATGATCTTTCTTTATCCTGAGTGATGGTTATTTGAACCCATCACCTCCAAGTGAACCCAAGGATGGGGCCAGAGACTAACACCGTAAATGCTTGATGACGTAATTATCAGCTTGATATTCATCAGCGTACAAACTACTTCAGCCATGAACTACAAGAATTTTAACTTTTTGAACTTGTGACACTATCGATCGACTATCGAGAATTCTTCTTGTTTTTTTTGTTGGTGGACATGCAATTTTCTAAATAAAAGCTTCGGTAAGCACAAAAGCTGCAATTCAAGTTTAAAGGTAGCGGTTTCCTGATTTTAGCATTACTTGATCGGTGTTAAATGAGAATATTGATATTAAATGGCTATGGAATACATAATTTCACTTTGCCTGTGGGTTTGGTGAACTGCTGTTCAATTTTTCGGGCAATCCAGCCACAGGACGAACAAATAACACGTGGAGATTAGTTTTATTATTTCAGTATGTTTTCTCAATTGAAGTTGCCTTCTGAAGCTGTAATGCGATCTTCTGTAGGGTGTTTTGGAGGCTGTTCGAATAAGTCTGGCAGGATATCCTACTCGGAAAACCTATCATGAATTTGTAGATCGTTTTGGACTCATTGCCATGGAAGTTATGGGTGGAAGGTAGGTTCAAGGCAGGCTTGCTGAGTTGGAGTGTATTATTTGTCAGATCATCTGCTTTAATTTTCTTTGTGCTTTCTGTTGAAGCTGCTTCTTGATAAATCGCATTTTCTAAATCTGTATTTTGTTTGTTTTTTCTACAAACCACTAATATTACAGCCAGGATCCTCGCTTGCTTTAACAAAATCTTTTTAAATTGTGAAAGCATTTTCACTGTTGCTTGGCATGTGTCCAATGCTGCCTTTTGATGTAAATGTATGCTCAAATGTTGAAATTGTGTTGTCGTTGTTCCTGCCTTCTTTGTTATATTTGTTTATGGTAAATCGCAATAACATTTCTTATTTACTCTTGATCTGATGTATTTGCAGTTATGATGGAAGAGCCATGGCAGAAAAAATCCTGCAAAAACTGAAACTTGAGAATTACCAGGTCTGCTTACTCAAAGCTGCAACATAACTAGATGTTGCTTTAACATGTTTAGTTTGGATTACATGACTGCTTATGCAGATGGCCTGCTGTTGGATTTTTCAGCCATCACGTCAATGACATCCAACCTTTTATTTTTTAACCTCTTCCATATTTCCATAATTCTTTTTTGCAGTTGGGGAAGACCAAAGTTTTCCTTAGGGCTGGTCAGATTGGTGTATTGGACTCTCAACGTGCTGGGGTCTTGGATTCTGCTGCGAAGTGCATCCAGCTTCGACTTCGAACGTTTATTGCTCGCAGGGATTTTACATCCAAGCGAGCTGCTGCAGTTTCTTTCCAAGCATACTGCAGAGGTTCTGCTCTTTAAATTTAGTTGCCTTTTATCATGCCCAATAATTTTCGTTTGTCAATTTGTTTTAAGACCTCAATCTTAATCCCTCAGGCACACAAGAGTTATCATATTGCTTTTTCACACAATTTTAGGTGCTTCTCTGTCCATATAATCAAATACTATTTTTTAAACGGGCCATTTTGTTAAAATATAGTTTGAACCTTGGAATCACTCAAATAATCTTTTACTCTATTGAGATTATTTAGCTTTCTATACTTCTGCTCAATCTTGATTCAATTTTATGTAAAATTGCACTAATAGCTCATACCTTTAACGATATTTTTGCAGGTCATCTTGCTAGAATTATATATGCTGCAAAACAAGAAGCTGCTGCTGCCATTTTGATTCAGAAGTATATTCGTGGATGGCTGTTGAGGAATGCCTATACGCAGCAACGTCTCTCTGCTGTACTTTTACAAGCAAGCATCCGTGGTTTCATTACTCGGCAAAGATTTTTACACATATGCGAACATAGAGCTGCCACTGTAATTCAGGTGATGTCTTTGCAGCATTTAAGCAAACAAGTTTTTGTGTGGAAATATGGAGTATTGATGTCATAACATCTGAAGTACTTTTACCCTGCTTCTCACTGTTTTCTGATTCCACAGGCTCGATGGAGGATGTTTAAGGTTCGTTCTGCATTTCTTCATCGTCAGCACGATATTACAGCAATACAATGTCTTTGGAGACGGAAATTGGCTAAGAGAGAGCTCCGGAAGCTTAAGCAGGTAAGGAAGCATTTTTGGTGCTCTCATTGGTGCTTTATGCTCGAGTATCTATCAAGTTTCAGTTCTTTTAATAAGCATGTGTTTACCAAAATGGTGTATTGTATTTGTTAACGTATCAGTTGAAGGCGGTAGCATCCTGAATCCCAACCTTTATAGTCTGGCACACTATCCTATAGTCTTGTACCTAGAGGTGTAGATTGTCTATGTTCATCAGGGTTTTCTTTAATTTTTTTTTTTGAATATTCTTCTCCTCATGAACAAAAATTGTATTCAGCCTATATATGCTGTATTATCTCTCGAGTAATAGATGCCAATTCATACCTTGGGCAGTTTCATAGTACTAGCGCTAAAACCCTAAACAACAAACCTTTACTGCTGCAGTGCTGCTGCTGCTGTCAAATAACTATATTAAGGCCTAGTTGCTGCCTTGTCTAATTAGCACCTTTGTCATGACCATTCCAAACCCTGCCAACCACTTTTTTGTTGACCATCAGCTGTGAATGCTGCGGCTGTGCAAATCTAGTTTAGTTATGAATCATTTGTTATTCTCTTTCTTTAGTTGTCATTTCTTGTTTTCTAGTTGTGCCCAATGCATCATTTGCTGCTTTTACATTTGACAGGAGGCCAATGAGACTGGTGCCCTGCGCCTAGCAAAATCTAAGCTTGAAAAGCAGCTGGAGGATCTCACATGGCGGTTGCAACTAGAGAAAAAATTAAGGGTATTCTTTTCTAGTTCAGTTTTTTTGTCGTTGCAGATCTTCTTTGAATGTTCACTTGCTATTTGCTAGCCATCGAGCCAATCTTGTGGCCTGAGCAGTTGTGGATAACAATAGTCGTATCTGCGGCTATTCTCTAATTTTTTGTGTAAGATGCTTGCTATCGTTATTTGTCCTGGCTTGAAAATGGCTTAAACTTTTGTGTGCAATGATTCTGGTCACTGTTTCTTTTATCATGGTTGCTGGTTCAAGTTGTCAATGAAATCATATTCACCTATTAATCTGGTCATAGTTTAGTTCAGCTAATCAAGAAGTTTTCTCGTATTGGTTTGTCCCACTAACAGAACCAGACTAAAGTACTAGAAACATAAGAAATGATGATTTCTATGGTATTGCTCTGTCTCTGTGTATGCTCACCTAACACCTGGGGGTGTCCATGACTTAAATGGTTGAGTGGGATAAGGATCTTATTCAGTTAGACACATAGAGCTGTCTGTTTGGGATGTATTTCATAGATCATGAATTTAATTGATTGAACCCCTTTCTATATGCTTCATTCCTCCTTTTTTTTTTTCTCTTTTAATTATTAATACTTGATCAATATTTTACTTCATCATCTGCCAACGTTGATTAATAACATATTTTTTCTTAGAACCTCACAACTATATTTATTATTCCTTAAATCATTCTATTGCACACTATTTTTTACTACAATATATTGCTTATAACTAATTTATGTGATGAAATTGCAAATTAAGTAACAAGTAAACTCTAAAATGTGTATTGTATTCAAACTATCATGTCCGGTTTCAATAGATCTTGTTTTATAATTATATTCGAAGTTATTAATGTTATTATCATACTACCTTATTCAAAATACTTATCAAACAATCATTTTTCATTCAAACTTATTTCAGACTGGTCATTTAGACTGTTTGTTCAACACATTACCATGCAATAATTTTTCATCTACCACTTGTTCTGGATAGTGCCTGTGTACCAAACCTTTTCATCCAAACAACACTTGTTCATAAAATATTACAGACCGATCCTCCTTAGGGTACCTGTCCGCTAGAATTTGGCTATCTCCTATATAATGGGACCACAACCTAATGCAGGGTTCAAACGACGAGTCAAAGTCTGTGGAAATTGCAAAACTTCAGAAAACAGTGCAGTCGTTGGTCCTTGAGCTAGATGCAGCTAAGTTGGCTACAGTGAACGAATGCAATAAGAATGCAGTGCTGCAAAACCAATTGGAATTGTCAGCAAAGGAAAAATCTTCTATGGAAAGAGAAATTGTGGGAATGGCTGACCTGAGAAACGAAAATTTATATTTGAAGGTAAGTTTGTCTGAGAAACCATTGCATCTTTCTATTTAGTTTTGGTGATTTTCTTTCTTTCTTTTTTGTTCTCGGTTGTTATTTGCAACTTGCTGGCTGAATGTTTATCTTCTTGTGCTGGTAATAGCATATGGATCTTAAGATCACATAGTATAAAGCTTTACTTTTGTCAAGTGTATATGGGAAAAGTTTCTTCTTGCTTTTACCCTCTCTCTCTTGGGGGTGTGTTTCTGGAAGCCCTCAGAAAATGGGTTGGTTTGAGCCCACAACTAGATGGACATTGGGTCACCAACCATTGAAGTAATCCTGACGATGTTAGGCTCCTTTTTCTGTCCTTGGAGTTCATTATATGTCCTCATGCCATATTCTTCATCTTCCCTGCAACACCTTGAAACTTTAAGGTTAGTGAACTGATTAGGCTCTATTTAATATTTATGAATTATCCATCCATTCATTACCAATGCTTTCTTCAGCTAGAGACAGCAATTAAGAGGGTTGGTTGATTGGACTTCACTCGTTAGTTATATGTTCCCTTTCTAGCTTTACATGATTTGGATAAAGAACCCTTCCCTTTCTTCCATGTCACACAATGACTTTTTGGCATTTATGTTTACAACCTCTTCTGTCCACATAAGTAGATATTACCTGAGTTTTCATCTATAAATATGCAACTTCTTGCCATGTAGTGTTGTTCCATTAACAAAAAAGGAAACTGATCTTTTACGATTGTTTGTTAAATATTGAATATGCATACAAGATAATCACTCTACATTGGTAGATTAATCAACAATGATGTTATGAAAAAAGAAGAAAAATATCAAACACAAAAAATTACACAATTTAGGCAAGCAAACACTGAACACAAGCGCTCATGCTGCACTGGATATGATTGCACCAATTAGCATGATAATGTTCACTGATTTAGCATTTTAGCATTTATTTGGGTGTTGGAAACTCATATCTAAGATTTGTTTTCTGCAACTCCATTTAACTGCCCATTGGTATAATAACGAAGTAATAAACTAGTATTTGCGAACCTTGATGCCAAGATTGGCATTATTTTTATGTGCACAGGACAGAGTTAAAGTAATGGAAAATAAAATTAAAAGCAAGATGGCTGAGATCGTTAATTATATGTCTTAAGTGGTATATGACTTTAACGTATATAGTTTGGACTTGGATGGTGGACCGCCTGTGAGTTGAAGGCATACATGCCTTTTGTATTTGGATATTTGATGTAAAACTGTCAGCTACTTATTTCACATTCCTGCAGAGTTCATTGAGTACATTGGAAGAGAAGAATTCAGCGCTGCAGAGCCAGCTTATTGAAGCTAAAGAAGATGCATCCAGTAACCACAAAAAATTGAGGGAGGTTGAGAGAACATGTTCACAACTCCAGAAGAAGCTAAAAAGGTCTTGGTTTCATATCTAGATTGCTGAGATATTCACTGGATTTGTCTTTTTATCTTATTTTGACAACCTACAAGGATTACCTTGCTTTTTGTTTAGACCTATGTTTATAATGTGTTTACTTGGAGATTCTATCTATATGTTCATATCGGAAAGCTTTTGTTATATGTTAACTAAATTTAATTTTTCGTACATATGCTCCTATTGTATGTATAGTCTGACAGATTTGGAAAGTTTATTTGACCTGTTCTTTTAAATTCTTCAGTTGAAGGCTTTGTGTAATCGATAATGACTATTTGTTCGACATTGTTTTTTCTATGTAGTTTTGAGGAAAAGCTTTTAAGTTTGGAGAAAGAAAATCATGTTCTAAGACAGAACACATTAAGTGTCTCTCCAAAAGGGAGCTGGCCAAGTCACACCAAGCCTTTTCTTGAGGTATGTTGATAGTTCAGCTTAGATTATATTTTAAATCGTTGCAAGAACCTAATATTCGTCTCAAAATCAAATGGCTTTGATTGGCCAGTGAATTAATGTGCGCTAGTTTGTAGTATATACAATACTTTCTCCCTTTGGGGAAATGGTTTGCTTTATTTTTCTCAAAGCCGAACATAGTTTTTTTCATGTTTGAATTTGATGACGTGATCTAATTTGTGGAGTTCTATACAGTGAATGGTTCTTGTTGAAGTTTTATCTGCACACATGTAGGCACCACTCCATGGACCTATCGCAGGATTGTATGTGGGATAGTGCACTCAAGTACTATTTATTTTCTTGGGAACTACAAATGTTATTTCAGTGCATAACTGCATATTGTAGGGAAAAGAAATTAGAATTCAAAATTAACATGAATTCCTGTAAGTTTATTGTCTTGAAGACTTGAATTGTTTAAATATATGAATTTTATAAATGGTTGCTATCTCAGTGAGAACTTTTAAAAAAAAACAATGTTACTGTAAAAGAATCATATCTAGCTCTATAATTCTGCTTAATTATGAAGCAATATGGCTTTATTTCATTCTGAGCGGCAATTATGATCAATGGATCACACAAATTTAACAGTTGGACATCAAAAAGTCTCAGTAACTTCACTTTCATATTTGTATGCTTTACTTAGTTATTCGGAATTGCATTCGACATTCAACACTTATTGCTTGAGGAAACAAATAGAGCCAAGTATTTAGTTCCTATTTTTCTTAATGACTGTTAACATTTCAGTAGTTGCTCATACTTGGCTCAAAATTGTCTTAGTCCGACTTAGCACATGTCATGCCAAGCCACTTATTCATATATGAGAGTTCAAGACTGATTCATCTCTTTTGCATTACATCTACATGGTTTGTTTAAATATGTAGTAGGGGATGTAATGTAATTTTAGGACACAATCAGGGGTTAACAATATGCAATCAAGACTACATCATTTTTGTGCTTGATCACCTGTTAGGCATATAGACTTGATCATCATATCAGAGAACACTCAAATTTTCTTTGACACAAATGGTGCAGCTGACTTTCATATGGTTAATTTGATTGTTCTTTGTACACAGAAATATTCTGGTGCACTTGCTCTCCCCTTCAGTGAACGGAAATCTACATATGTAAGATCCGTTTGCCTAATTTTTCTGTCGAATATATTATTTTCTACTTTCTCATGGCACATTGTAATTCTGGTGTAGGAAACACCTACTCCTACCAAAAGCGCAAATCCTGTTTCCCAAGGTTTAACTGATTCTCGTCGGTCAAAGATGACTACTGAAAGGCACCAGGTTTTGATTTTCTCTACCCTGTGTGTTATGTGTCTCCCTATGTTTGCACGGATACTGTAAATCCCACGCTAAAAAAAGTTCAGTGGTTTTTAAAGCAAGATGGTCAATATATGCTCTTACACTTTGCTATATATATAATTGCATATTTGTATCTGTGTGTGATATTTCCATTCTGAAACTTTTGGTGCAGGAGAACTCTGACATCCTTGCACGGTGCATTAAAGAAAACCTGGGATTCAAGGATGGAAAACCAGTGGCAGCTAGTGTTATTTATAAATGCCTTYTTCAGTGGCATGCCTTTGAGTCCGAAAGGACTRCTGTATTTGACTTCATTATTGAGAACATCAACAATGCTCTTAAGGTAATTAGTTCACACTGAGCTAGTTATGTCTCTTTTAACATGCTTCTATTTTCTTGTTTGTGTGTCTACATTTTCTATTTGTTGCGCTCTTACGCTAACTGATGCAATTTTCTTGCGAGTCTCTACAAAAACATATGGAAATGACCATCTGAATCTTATAGATAAGAGAATCTGATAAATTCCAACATGGTTTTTCAGGTGGCGGATGAGGGTCTTATCTTGCCATACTGGTTGTCTAATGCTTCAGCTCTTCTATGCCTTCTGCAAAGGAACTTTCGGTCCAATGGTTTCTTGACACCAATTTCTCAGCGTTCCGGTGCGTCTTCTTTGCCGAATGGGAGGCTTGCCCAAGTAAGCTTCATATTCTAATGATATAACTATGTAAACTTGGATGACAAGCGACTGTTATCTTGTAATGACAAGTGGTATTTATTTCTAGTTGCTTCTTCTCGCCAATATTAAGGAGTTCTTCTTTTCCTAGTACTAATGCTCTTCACTTCTGCTTGACTAAAGAAGATGAGTTCTCTGGTAATTGGCAGCTTCCATCTAACCATAAAAAATCTTCATCATATCATAAGGATTTCTGTTTGGAGCTTTTTATTTTCCCTTGAAGAATATAACAAGTTAACCGTGACTAATGAATACATTTGATCCGTTGTAACCCTTTTACTTTTCATGTTTAATCTTCTTTGGAGTTTTTCTGCATGTGACTTCTGATTTGTCTACTGTCATTCTGAGAGTTGGAATGCGCCACTTCCTTGATTTGGTTTTCTGTCTTGCAATCATGCCTTTCACGTAATTTGAGGCTTTTCGTTTTTGGCTTTAGGAAGCCTCAGATTCTTGTTCTAATTTTGGGGTTTTTTTTTCTGCTACTATCTTATTCTTGTGCCTAATTGGGTGGATTGGTATTTAATGTACTTTTCAGGGATACACTCCACATAAATACATTGGGTTTGACGATGGGATCTCGCCTTTGGAAGCTAGGTATCCAGCAATATTATTCAAACAACAGTTAACAGCTTGCGTGGAGAAGATATTTGGCTTGATAAGAGATAACTTGAAGAAGGAAATAGCACCGTTGTTAAATTCATGCATCCAGGTTGGTGTTCTTTCTTGGCACAACTCATTTAATTGTATTTTATTGTGGTTATTGTCTTGGCTTGAGTTATAATCGAGCTTTTGCTAAATGCTAACTGTATAATTTATTGTTTTGCAATTCTTTGTAAAGGCGCCTAAAAACCAGCGAGTACATGGTGCTAAATCTTCTAGATCGCCTGGGGGTGTTCCTCAGCAGGCTACTGGTAGTCAGTGGGAGATGATCATAAAGTTCCTGGATTCTCTTATGGATCGTCTACGTGGAAATCATGTATGCTTAAATCTCTTACTCTCTTCTTATTTGAGCGTAATTACTGGTCAAATATATATGTTGAACTCAGGCACATACCCAAAACTTGTAATTTGGTTGCATGTACTTGCTTCATTCATATGCTTTTGTTATTTATTTATATTTATTACTACTATTTTTTTCTTATTTTCTTTTTTAGAAGAGATGTACAAGCTTCTGTTCAGCCTCTGCCTTCTATCCATTTCTTTGTTTGCCATCGAATTATGCAACACATCCTGACTGTCACAAAAATAGGATACTAACAAAACATAAATGATAATAAAATGGCTTACCAAGCCAACAAATCATTATTGAAGAGATATCTAGCGTACTCCTCCAAAGCCTTAGTACATGAACTGAAATGTGGACAACATGCACACGAGGAACTGTGATGCTTAGTAAAGAACTTGTGTATGTCTGTTTAGGCTTAGCTTTGTAACTTGTAAGTAGGTGGTGCACTTCATTGTCAATGTCAGCTGTGGAGATTTATGCACTGAAAGTATGACGGGAACATTAAATTTTTTTGAAGGGACAATAAATTGAAGAAATAAGATTTTGTAATATTGGTACATGGATGTACCTTAACTTTCTGACCAAATGTTCTTGTGTCAGGGAGTTCGTGGTACCCAGTTGGCACATATAACTATGAACCAATGATGGGAACTGGGAAGGTAGATTATCTTAGGTCAAGGAGCGTAATGGTTTCTTATCTATACGTAAAAAAAAGCAACATATTTACATGGGATTGTAAAAGTAAGTTATAAATATGATACCATTGAGTAGAATTTCATCTGAATGATAAATTTAGGTTTAATGTCTTTAGACCCTGTAAAGACCATCTTGTCGTAGTAAATTTTCCTGCTCATGTAACTTGTTAAATCTACATGCAGGTACCTTCGTTTTTCATTCGCAAGCTTACCACCCAGGTCTTTTCATTCCTCAATATATCACTTTTCAACAGGTATGTATCCTTATATTTAGTGTACATCTTCTCTATGTTGCCCGATCTACTCTTCGGGGTGGAGGTCAGGTCTGCCTACATTCTACCTCTTCCAGACCCCACCGTTTACTGGGCTTGTTTGGTTTGGTTTGATCTTGTTTATCTGCTCTATGTTGTGAATTAATTCCATACTGAGATGGAAGTTTTTTGGTAGTCTTTTATTGCGGCGAGAATGTTGCACGTTTTCCAATGGGGAATACGTCAAATCTGGTCTAGCAGAACTGGAGAAATGGATAGCCAATGCAAAGGAAGAGGTGACTGTTTTTTCCTTTGTTCAATGTTTTTGTTTCCTTATGAATACTTCTATTGCTGTCGGAGCTGACTGAACACTAAATTTAGTTTGCAGGAACTTCTTGGCATGAACTAAATTATATCAGACAAGCGGTCGGGTTTCTGGTAAATCACTGCCTGCTACCATGATCTGTAGTGGTGTAACAGAATTGTTTTTTCGGTTCACTTACAAGTCTTTTAAATATTTTAGGTGATACACCAGAAACGGAAGAAGTCTTTGGAAGAGATTAGGCAGGATCTATGTCCGGTATATCTTATTTTGGGCATAAATACAACTAACTTTTCTTTGTTTTTTTCCAAGTTTTTAATATTTATATACTTACACACACTCCTCACTTTTGGTGAGGTTTCAAACCCTTTTGACCTTCTGGGTTGCTGGGCTAAATCGTTAACCCGGGTACCAATGGGCCAATGACCCTTTGGCAAACTTTTCAGTGTCTTTTTATCAGAGATGTCATTTGATTGTTCGTCTTCTTTGGACAGGCATTGACTGTTAGGCAAATATATCGTATAAGTACAATGTACTGGGATGACAAATATGGGACCCAAAGCGTATCCAATGAGGCAAGTATTTTTCTTTTAATGTTGTTAGCAAGCTGTTGGTGTAATATTATATATATATATATATATAGAATATATATATAGAACATGGTTTATGAATGTAATTTTGTTTTGTTTTGTGTAGGTCGTTGCGGAGATGAGGGAAATGTTGAACAAGGACTCTCAGAACCTTACTTCCAATTCTTTCTTGTTGGATGATGATCTGAGGTAAGTTGCTTATCCGTTTTTAGCTCAAACAATCCTCGTATGTATGTGCTTTTGGAAGTGCTTCATGTTTTTGTAAGTATATATTATATATGTGTGTGTGGCAAATACATCTTTTGATGAGTTTTGCACTCTATCTATAACCCCGGTACTGCTGGGCCAAAGAGCCTTTGATGAAAGTGTGTAAGATTTTTACAGTGGTTAAATTATATTGGTCTGAATGATTGTTTTTGTGCATTGCATAATTACATCTGCAGCATTCCATTCTCTACGGAAGATATCTACATGGCGATTCCTGCCATTGATCCTTCAGATATCGAGCCACCTGCATTTTTGTCTGAATATCCTTCAGCACAGTTTCTACTACAGAATCCGAAGTAAATTTGTGTAGGTGTAGTAAATGGGAAATATATCATTTCTGCGTTTGTGGTTTTAGTTTTTTAGGATAGTTAGCCAAAGTTGATGTAAAGGGGCAGGCTATGAACAAAAGTAGTTGTATTTCATGGGGATGAAATCAAATGGTGGGTTTTTATTCTTTTTGTAAAAAGCTTGTAGTATTCATGGATTTTAGTGGTTTGATATGTATGTTCATGACAAAATGCCAATGATTTATTTATTGTTAAGTGGCTAATGGTTTCGTTTATTTGTTATTCCTCGTTCTTATCTGTAGTTTATACTTAAAAGGGTGTGTTTGGTATTTAGACATCACAAAACAATTGTTTAACGTTTGGTAAGACAGAACTAACTTATAGGTCTGTTCCATCTGGTTCAATGGGATGGGGGTGAAGTTTATTATTTTTCTGGTCCTTAAACACTTCTTTTTATCACATCAATAGGATGTGACAACCCGAATCCTTGTATCTGCGTGGAGCATACTCATTCCACTCTGTTCATGTCTGTTCCACATAAAAATCATGTCAAACGTGGAACAATAATCTCCCCTATTCTGTCATGTCAAGCGTACTAAACGTACGTCTTTGCATGTTGTCTTTTTCCTTGTTTTTCCATAAATTAATGATATCAATGGAAACAACCTTTCTATTTTTTAGGATAAAAAAACCTTGTATATATACATTTCATTGTATATATAAATTTAAGGGGGTGTTTGGGATTGCTTATTTGAAACAACTTATGTTTTTCTATAAAAGCACTTATCAATTTATTACAAGTTAGAAGGGTTTAACATATTCAAAAACTCTTTATTACCGGTTTGGCACCGGTATAAATTGTTTATCCAAATACTCAAAAGTGCTTATTACCGGTACTACACCGAAATAAGTCAATAAATTGTTTTTATAAGCAATTCCAAACACCCCTAAATACCATTATACTAGTGTTTTATGTTACAAATATTCAACATTTGACCACCAACTAAATATTTGTATAAAAAAAAATATGAATATGATGATTTAATAATTCTCGTAAAACTAATAAATTACACCACATATGTAGTTAACTATAATAAATTTTTACTGTGATTCCGTCTTTTTTATAAAACAAAATTGTAACCAATTTTCATGTTAATCGAATACACGAACAATCACGAGTTTGAACGTGTACGAATGGTGAATCGTGTACACCATTTCACGAGGAGACGTTCAACATCAGCATCCATGCGTGTGCCGACGCCACCCCATACCAGCATGTGGCCAAGGTCTCCCATTGACGAGCCACTTACCTCACGAACTGGTTCGAACCCTATTCTTCTATAAAACTTCACAAGCTGCAAGCAGTTTGAAATTTAATTCATTTAACTTGATACGCAACTTAATTATTCTTCAAATGTATACAACTTTTTTTTTATTATAAAAAACGAGATGTTTTGAAAGTTGGTTTAAAAAAAAATTAAAATTACAGTTTTGAAATTTTGATGTAACATTGGTTTTAAAAATACGAATAAATATAAAGTTGGTTTTATTTTGATACAATAAACATATAGAAAACACCTTTTTGACGACCTACAAAACATTTTTTTATATCTTGTTGCATGTATAAAACAACACGTGTGAAAACACATTGCTTATACAGTGTTTTTCATATCTGAAATGTTCGGTATTGTTTTTCTCCGGATAGAAAACAATTTTGAACATTTTTCATATGAAACAAACATTGTATTAACACTGCATTTTCCCATGTGTTATTTCATAACATGAAAACTAATATATAAATATGTATAAATTATTAAATTTATAAATGATTATTCATCTAAGAAAATATATATCTAATGGTTGTAATTTTGGTACAAAAAAATATAAAGGGAAGAAACAAAGACCTTGGCATGATAAAGATCGGAGTCATTAATGGCAAGCAACTCGGCAGTTTTACACCCACAATCATATCCATATCGGATCATCACAGCTCCAATAAACAACCCGATTCCAAATATGGATCTATCCATACCCAATGTTTCTCGGGTCAACTTAATTGAATCCAAATGAAGAATCTTCCCTTTCTTCCACCATACCCGTATCATTCCCTCGGCTTTCCCCAACACCTTGTTCGTTTCTAAGCTCGTTGCCGTGATTCTGAAAAACGGCCCCACTGTTTGTAGTCGGAGGTCAAGGTTTTGTGCCTTTGAAGACTCCAAAATATCAGACATGGTGGGTTTTTCGACGATTTTCTTGTCATATTGTGAGGAATTTAGATGACAAGATGAAATTAAGGTTTTGGGTGTTTGAAAAGTGGGGAGATGAATATGAGCGAAAGAAGTGGATGTGATTTGGGATATGAAGGAATTTGGATTTGGAGCCAAATCCATGGGGAAGAAAGCAAGATATGAGCAATGAAATCATGGCCACAAAGAGCTATGATGAAAGCTTTGTGCTTAAATTATGTTTTTAGTCCTTGTGGTTTGTTAAGAAATGCGAATTTAGTCCATGTGATTTTAAAATTGTGGTTTTTGTTCGGAATATAATGACTTATTGTTGTTTTTCGTACCTAATACTAATTTCTACTTTAAGTATGATAGACGAAAACAATAAAGAAGTGTAGATCATAAGAATGAAAACAACAGTGAATTGTAAACGATAGGAACGGAAATAACAAATAATTCGAAATTACAACAATGAGTTGGTAGTCTTTTATCGTGACGAGAAAGTTATTGGTGGTTCTTTGAGGGTTGACATTTCTTTTTAATAGTTTGCACTTAGGGGCCATTTATTAAACGTTTATCATGTCATTTATCTTACTGGATGAACATAACAATAACCGATAGTCTTATCCGGTAAGAGTGATGAAAAAGATGGATAGTCTTGCCTGATAAGTGAGAGAAACGACTCTTACCAAGTAACCATTTACCGAGTAAATTGTCATATACGATACTCTTTCGATGGACTACAATCTTACTCAGTAAAATAAGTTAGAGTGTTACTTTTATCGGTCAACATTTACCGGATAAACGCTTAGGTAAAAGACCCCTTAGAGATGAGTATTTGAGATCGGTCGGTTTGAACTAGTTAGGCAATTTTGCAAGAGCACTAGATCAAGGAGGACCGGTTATAGGACCTATTGATTGGAGTAAATAACGTATTATATTTTAGCACATTTATTAAATGATAATGTTATCAAAAAAAATAGTTAATATATACTTAAAAGGAAAAAAAATAGTGAAGAATAATGATATAAGAAAATAGTGAAAGAAATCTATATAAGGTAGAAGAAAACAAAATTATGAAAATTATTAGAAATCTGGACAAATTGCATGAAAAAGTAGTGTATTTTAACTTGATTCTTATTTAGGGTAACGTACTTTTAAAACTTTCATTTTGGTAGCTAAGATATAAATTTTCAAACATTTAAGTACTCGGGTAACCGATTGAAGACTAATTTTAGATTAAAAAAAGTCATGTCACTAACCACGTCAACAAATAATACTAAGTTGAATACCACATCACTCGTCACATCAGCAAATAATACTAAGTTGAATATCACATCACTCGTCACATCAGCTTGATACCCGGTTAATGCTTCAACCAGTTACCCGGGTACTTAACTGTGTAAAACTTTACATCTTAAATAGCAAAATGGAAGTTTTGAAAGTACATTACCCAAAATATGAAACAAGTTAAAGTACGTTACTTTTTCATGCAATTTGCCCTAAAAATCTATATAATTTTTCCATCTCAGTTTATATCTTAGGATTAGAACCTTATTTTATTATAAACATTCTTATCGGAAAATCTCTCAACAGTGATACAATATCTTTTAAGATCCGTATAATACCTTTTTATTGGGTGATCTTCTAAAAGTTATAGGATTAGGACTCATCTTGATTCATGTCATTGTTGTAGTTATCTTCATCGTTATTGAGCATTATAAAAAGCATTAATAGAACAAAAAAAAAAACCCTTAATAGGAAGATGACGAGGGAAGGGAGATTTAGGTACATCTGAATAAAACCGGAGAAATTCCAATGAAGGGGTTTAGGTGTTCTAACTTTTGGAGTGAGAAAAATAAGGAGTAGGCAAGACGTGAAGACGCAAGGTTACTTACCATATGATAGGGCGGGTTCATATGAAAATTGGTTTTCAGTTGTGAACTGGGAGACAAAGGAGAGCGTGACACGTGTCGCACATCTTTATGGGTTATTCATCATGAATAATGTATCATTCATGATGAATGTGATAGTGAATCAATTTACATGGATCATGATCGTGTATCATTCATCATGAATGTTGTATCATTCATCATGAATAGTTCATGAATGTTTACCTTTGTTGTTCATACCAAATGTCATTCATTATTCATACTGAATATGGACATCACAGATACACAGAAGATCAAGACGGGTCGCTTCTTATAAATGTTCAGAAAATGTGTAAACGAGGATGTTTCTATAGGCCCATTAAAACAGGGGAATCACATGCAAGATGAGCATACCTTTCAGAGGATGGTAAATTTGAGCATATTTTTTATACTTGGATTAATATTAAGCATAGAACTCAAAAGAAATGACATTGGCTTTTGGTACGACACCAAAAAGAAAAAAAAAAAAAACTGGTTTCTAAAAATTGCCATTTTATCCTTTAACGTATGTAGTCGTTTCTCACTATATGTTCATAATTTTGTCCCCTGTTTTTTTTTATCATATATATATATAGAATTGGAATCATGTGAAACCAATGGTTTTTCATGAGACCTGTAAGACTAATTCTCAACTCTTGGATTAAATCTACAATCTGAACATTCATAATCACAAGATTACCATGAGACTTCTGAATAATCACAAAATTGTCACCGTACAACTTTAGACCATTAAATCATTAGCTTATAAAGTTGATCAATGAACATAAATTGGTCTTACGGATCTTACAAAAAACCATTGGTCTCACGTGAACCCCACACACACACTCTCTCTCTCTCTCTCTCTCTATATATATATATATATATATATTGTGTATTTCATAAAACTTTTGACTCTTTATCATAGTTTATACAATAAAAAACTACAGTAATAAAAATTGTAATACTTAAAAATTATTTATCATAACTAAAAAACAATAAATAAAATTTACAATAATAAAAATCATAATAATTAAAAATTATGAAAATAAAAACTACATTTTAATAAAAATTATAATTAATAAATGGAGTAGGGGCTATTTAAAAGATTTATATAAATTTAAATTGTAATATTTATTGTATTAAAAATTTAAATCTAGGGACCATTTTAATGGTTTGAACCGTTTCACATTTATTATGAACATCTTCTTGTCCATTTGACTAATAATTGATTCCCTTCCAATGGTTTCATTTAGCCAGGCCCAGCCCTGGCCATGTGCAGCCCGTGCCGTCGTACAGGGCATCAAAGCCTAAAGGGGCATCAAACTGTCATCTATTATTAGTTTTGGGTTTAATAATTAGGGAATTGGACAACTGAGTTTTAACGATAAAAACAGGCCCAAGGCCTAGTAGTGATGAATATTGAATGCACATCGTGAACCGATTAACGCAATCATTCCAACAACTCAATCTAATTTATATTGTTCTTCAAAGTTCGGGTATTTCGATTTTCAAGGCATGGAGTTCTCTTTCCAGCCGATTAACGGTCATAAAATTAGATTCAAGAAATCAAAGATGAAAATCTTGAAGGACTGATTTCTACTGTTGATTGAACTTACCAGTTGTTGCATGAGTCATATTATGATTTATGAATCTTTAAATCTTTTTGCAAAAAAAAAAATCTAAATTTCTAACTGAATATTATAAAGTTGGGTCATACGATCGTGTGGGTTACTGACCTACTAGGCTAAGGCTAAGGGGCTTTTGTCATTTTGATAATGAGTCTTCCTCTTGCATATTAAAATATCTGAGAATTGAAATTTTCAATGCACATAAGCACATCACTGTATCAACATAGCTGGAGCACACTGCACAACATATTGTGAGATTGTCTTAATTATCGGGCACTTGTTCTTTGCAATGCACAGTAACATAGATTATGAATTTTACAATTTATTATTGTTCTTTTGACTTTTGTTTATTTTAAGGTTTGGCATCACCGCATTAGATTTAGGGGTTGCTTGATTGGTTTTTTTTTATTAAGGTCTACATGGATAAAGTTGTGTGTATGAATTAATTTATCCATATAAGTTGGAAAAGTTTTTGTTTGGGAGAGTTTTTTCGCAGATATAAGGAGCGTTTTTTTAGTTGAAAGGGACATGTTGAAAGAGTAAGCTGTTAGTTCCATTAAGCTTATTAAGCTGCTAAAAGATAGGCCCTTAGCCTTAGTCATTAGACCTGTAACTTTTGAGTTTTACTTTTTGCTTAATATGATAATAATTTGGATGTAATTTACTATTTTAGTTAAAAGCTAATTATAGTTTTCCTTGTCTTTTAAGTCCCATATATTGAAATAAAGCTTCTATTTTCCTAATTTCAATTTGGAAAAGGGAAA